GCATCGCATTGATAACATAGCGTAGCATTGTACGGCATGGCATAGCACAGCACAGCAGAGAATCGCATGGCACCAGACACGACGGGACACCGCGGGACACCCCCAGGCCACCGCCGGCCAACCGGGAAAGACACCACGGGACACCGCGGGACACCCCTGGTCCACTGTTGGCCAACCGGGGGGCACAGCAAAATTTGGCCCGGTTTTGCCGTAAACGCAGATGGTTCTTTCCCCTCGCCTTCCGACGCAGCTTCGCCGCGCCCACACGCGCGACACGAACGCGAAACCGAAAACGAATTCCTAGCGGGGGGGCTCCTGTTCACTTCGATCTCTTTCCCAACCTCGGATTATGTCACACAACGGGACACCGCGGGACACCCCCGGGCAGCCACTGGCCAACTGGGGGGCACAGCATTTTTCCCAACCATCCTGTGGTGTTGGGTCCTCGTTTTGAAGAAACGGTCCCCGCGTTCTCCTCTCCTCTCCTCTCCTCTCCTCTCCTCTCCTCTCCTCTCCTCTCCTCTCCTCCTCCCTCCTCCCCCTCCGAATCAGCCACACCCACTTCGGCACACCCCTCACACGTTTCGTGGCCCCATAGGGAGCTCCACCGAGGGCTCCAGCGGCTGCGTTCGCATGGCGGCACCGCGCCCATTTCGGCACACCCCTCGCACGCATCGTGGCCCCATAGGGAGCTCCACCGAGGGCCCCAGTGGCTGCGTTCGCATGGCGGCACCGCGCCCATTTCGGCACACCCCTCACACGCTTCGTGGCCCCATAGGGAGCTCCACCGAAGGCCCCAGTGGCTGCGTTCGCACGGCGGCACCGCACCCATTTCGGCACACCCCTCACACGCTTCGTGGCCCCATAGGGAGCTCCACCGAAGGCCCCAATGGCTGCGTTCGCATGGCGGCACCGCAGTCATTTCGGCGCCCCTCACACGTTGCGTGGCCCCATAGGGAGCTCCACTGAAGGCTCCAGTGGCTGCGTTCGCATGGCGGCACCGCGCCCATTTCGGCACACCCCTCACACGCTTCGTGGCGCCATAGGGAGCTCCACCGAGGGGCCCCAGTGGCTGCCTTCGCATGGCGGCACCGCACCCATGTCGGCACACCCCTCACACGTTTCGTGGCCCCATAAGAGGGCTCCACTGAGGGCCCCAGTGGCTGCGTTCGCATGGCGGCACCGCACCCATGTCGGCACACCCCTCACACGTTTCGTGGCCCCATATGGAGCTCCACCGAGGGACCCCGTGGCTGCGTTCGCATGGCGGCACCGCACCCATTTCGGCACACCCCTCACACGTTTCGTGGCCCCCTTAGGAGCTCCACCGCCGCGCCCATTTCGGCACACCCCTCACACGTTGCGTGGCCCCATAGGGAGCTCCACTGAAGGCTCCAGTGGCTGCGTTCGCATGGCGGCACCGCACCCATTTCGGCGCACCCCTCACACGCTTCGTGGCCCCATAGGGAGCTCCACCGAGGGCCAGTGGCTGCGTTCGCATGGCGGCACCGCGCCCATGTCGGCACACCCCTCACACGTTGCGTGGCCCCATAGGGAGCTCCACCGAGAGCCCCAGTGGCTGCGTTCGCATGGCGGCACCGCGCCCATTTCGGCGCACCCCTCACACGCTTCGTGGCCCCATAGGGAGCTCCATCGAGGGCCCCAGTGGCTGCGTTCGCATGGCGGCACCGCGCCCATGTCGGCACACCCCTCACACGTTGCGTGGCGCCATAGGGAGCCCCACCGAAGGTTCCAATGGCTGCGTTCGCATGGCGGCACCGCACCCATTTCGGCACACCCCTCACACGTTTCGTGGCCCCATCGGGAGCTCCACCGAGGGCCCCAGCGGCTGCGTTCGCATGGCGGCACCGCGCCCATTTCGGCACACCCCTCACACGTTTCGTGGCCCCACAAGGTGTCAAGGTCTTGCGAAACGCTTCAGTAGGTCTAGCAGCTCCCCCGCGGCCTCCCCGCGCCCCGTTTGCATGCCGCGGGAACTTCCATTCCGCCGCGTGAAACTGCACGTTTCATAGACAGAGTGCGTCCCTGCATATATCCCATAACGTAGAGGCATGCTCAGAAACGCTTAGGTAACGTATACGCGCATCGCACGTATTGCCCGTGGCTGGGCGTTCGATGTCGCGGGCGTTCCGTTCGCAAGATAGGGGGCGCCGTGATCAGAGTTCGGTGGGTTTGAGCTGAAATGGTTACGGACCCTGCCCCCCCCCCCCCCCCCCCCCCCCCCCTCTCCTCATCCCCGCCGCCCTCCCCCCGTCCCGCCCCATCCCCCCTGCTCCTCTTCGCCCCGTCGGTATAGCCATTTTGTCCCAAGAACCGCGGCAGGTTCTCAATGTAGCGCGTTCTTCGCGCCTTCCGCCAAAGGCGGGCGACTGCGAAGATGAGCACGGGGTCGCCCGCCCAGAGTGACCGCGACCCTGAAGATGTGAATGGCATCGCCCCTGGGCCCCCATGCACCCAACCTCGAACGGCGCAGAACAGGTCGCGGCATGGGCGGCCACGCACTGCGCCGCTCATGGGCAGCTTCATGGCGCGGTTGGTTGCCTACCCCAGTGCGCGTGGCCCGCCCGCAACCGATGACCAGAGCCCTGGGTCGACATCGGTTCCTCTGGTGATTGGCTGCGCCCGATGCTCCTGGACGTTCGTTGACGCTGGCCCCGAACAAGAGCGAGACTATGCGGCTTTGATGCTGAGGGGCGGCGGCACGTCGAGGCAGTTGGCTGCGTGGGGCTTCGCCCGATATGCGTTTCTGAAAGTGTACGATTTCGAGGCCCCACCTGCGTTGCCAGAACTTGGCGTTGATTTAGGCGGCCCGACAGCGGCCGTGCGTTTATCATTGCAGATTGCAAACGGAAAAATATATTGGGCTTACCTTTCTGTGCAAGACGTTATCGACGCCAACCTGGACCTGCCTTTAACTAGTGCGAAGCTGCCAATGGATTCCTTGGATCGCGCCCTTGAGGAAGACATGCCTGCGCTATTCAAGATGTTGCGACTGGGTGTTCGAACAAACTGCAGTGACCATATCAAGGGGCACCCGCCATCGTCATTCATACGAAGCTGAAGGCAGCAATCGAGACTCGCAGAGCAGGGTGGATTACGCAATGAGAAGACGGTACGCCCAGCGGATAGGTCGCATGTTGATATTGTGTTGGAAATGCCGAGGGGAAAACGACCATTGGATTCTGTCGACGCTCGACGGGGTTGGGGATTCTCCCACAAGCGGCCTGCAATTGATCCCATGAATTTGCTCCGTGTCTTGTTCTTTGCTCGGCACTTGCACGACTGTCGCAACTTTAGTGAGGCCATGGCAGACGCACGCGAGTATGCTCACACTGACGCAGGCGCTGCGCGTGATTCTTCGGGTGACCCGAAACGATCTAGCATCGCTCGTGGAATGGAGAGGCTTGGTATTATGGACCTCCTCTTGCTTCGCCGCGAGTTTCGGGCAGACTGCGCCCGCGACAACACTGTGGCCATCCAATTGTTCAGCGACGCCTCGCCCACCACTGGCACTGAGATACAAGGCATGGTCATGGACGTATTGCGCCGCGACGGTTCCACTCAACGCACCGTGCTTCCAGGGTGCACGTTGTTGCGCGGATTTTACGACGCTGCGAGCAAGGCGATCGCGCTGCTTCACGCCATTTGGGTTGTACCTGGTCCAGACGTGGAAACCGTGAGGTATGTTTTGAGCAAGGTCGTATGCGTAACCACCGACTTCGGGAACGAGGTGAGAACGTTGGAAATGGTAGACTGCGTTGAGGCATACTGCAAGTGGATGGGAGGATTGTCTTTGTCTGCTGCACGGCCATTTGTAAACCGTGATCGTCGGTGGCTGCCGCATTCCATACGTATATCTGGGTGGAGCCACACATTTGGAGGCATTATGAAGAGTACTGTTGAAAGCTGGGGGGGGGGGGGGGGGGGGGGGGGGGGGGGGGGAGGGGGGGGGGGGGAGGGGGGGGAAAGGGGGGGGCGCGCAGAGATTCGACCAAGTAAGACATTAGATTTCTTTTTGTCGCAACGCCTCGCGGTGCAAACAAATGCAGAGGGCGCTCGGCTTGGGCCCCGAGGATGACCTCGACCTCACTCCGCTTGACCACTTTTCGGTGAAGGCTGCCACATGGCGATACAAGGCGCTTGCCGTCGTGTTCCCAAAACATGCACAGGTTTTGTCATTATTGAAGCGGGTGCCACGGTGTCTTTTCGCAAACGTTAAGGACGGACAGATGGTCGCTGCCGCTTTCGATGCCATAGCAGACCCATCAATCGAAGCTTTCTTGGCGGCAACGTCAACGCATGTTTTCGGCCCAGTCGAGAAGGGCCGCCACTGGGGCATGATCTGCACCTGCCCAGACCATGTGCGCCAACGCCGCGAGGGCGCAAAACGCATGTATTGTTGGTGGAACTCAAGACGATTGGACGAGGCATGGGCTTTCACGCAGCGTCGTATTCAATGCTATCGGGCACGAGCTCGGGACCTTAGCATGGCTGACTGTTCGAACGACCGCGGGGTATGGGAAATTTCGCATAGATATCTCTTGAGGCTTCGCCTTCTGCCGCCGCTCGCCCTGCTGATGGATCGGCTCGTCGCTCGAGTGTCGGGGCCACTTCCCCCAGCGCGAGCGCAGGCTCGGATTGGGGGGGCGGGGGTGGGGGGGGGGCGAGGGGGGGGGGGGGGGGGGGGGGGGAGGGGGGGGGGGTGCGAGGCAGCCAGAGGGAGAGTGAGAGGGAGGGATAGAGGGAGTGGGAGAGGGCGAGAGAGAGAGAGAGAGAGAGAGAGAGAGAGAGAGAGAGAAACCGACATATGGATATGGGGGAAAGGGAGGAGTTTAAAAGGGGGTGAAGGGGCGACGCTCCCGTGCTCTTCCACGCGCCAGGGCGCCCCCCTGCAAGGCGGCGGTGGGTATGACGAAGACGGCTGCGCTCTTGAAAATGCGATTTGGGTATCCAGGTCTGCCGCCGTGGAGTTTTGCGAGGTGCGGGGCGACCCAGGGCGCCAGAGACTTCATGGAGCACGTTCGTTCAGTGGACATGATGAGCCACGACCCAGTCACCAGAGAGCTCGCCGATGGACTCGGTGCTCACATTGATGATCGGGCTGCTGGCGGCGAGGCCCACCCCGCGCTGAGGGAGGCGCTCGCTCGCTTCAACGCCTGCGCCCCCGACGAGAGCGCAGGGGAGGGCTACCGCAGGTCGACCACTTGGGAGAAAAGACGAGCAACTGGCAGTACGTCCAAACATTTGAAGGCAGCTGCTCGTCGGAAGGGGGCGTTCGCCCATGTGCGAGAGTTTCGGCGTCGTCACGGCGCGCGGGGCGCAGCTGTAATACAGTGCGAGTGGCGGAATTGGAAGCGAATCTTGCAGTGCAACCCGAAGAAGAAGCGGCGGCCTAGCCGCTTGACTGTTGGGGGACTTATGCCAGAGTGTACCGCGAGGAGGACTACGCCGATGGAGGTTGGGCCGACGTCGTGACCCGAGAGGCCCCCCTCCACGCGCCCGTGCCCGAGAGGATCTCGAACGCGGAGGCGTGCCGCCACGAATTATTGCAGGTTTTGGTGACGGAAGGGCAACATTACTCAGCGAGTGTGGAGCAAGATGCCGTTGGCGAGGACGGCAGCGTGGAGCGCGGGACTACAGACTTGCACTTCCAATTGGTACAGACAGCTGGCAGTCGGCATAGACCTCATTTGATGCCTGCTATTGCAACCCCAGTTGACATCTCGACTTCGGCATCGCTGGCGTGGGAGGTGAAATTTGAAAGTAGAGTGGCAGGACCAGCGGAAAATGCAGATCAGCTAGCCGCGTGCAAGGTGTTCGCCGATGGGGACCTGCAGTGGGTGAGGCCTTCCACCATCGCCTCGTTTGGTGTCATGAAGCGGGGGTTGTATCGTTATGACAAGGTGGAGGCCAGCGACGCACAGGGAGTCTTGACATTGACGGACAAAACATTACGCATTCAGACGCTACCCATTATGGACGAGCGCTGCACAGTATTGTCCATCATCTGGCACTTGAAATCGAGCGGATGGACGGTCGCCGACCGTCGAGTAGTTCACACCACAACCGATGCCGGTGTTTTTGATGGTCAAGAGGCAATCAGAGAATGTTTTCAGTGTGTAGTTTCTCTTTCTTCTGTTTTACCTTTGACGACGTCAGTGGCGTCGCGCCAGCCAATTGGGTTTTATAAGCTTCTCCTCCGCGGGTGCAAGACCGCGCCGAACTTGAGCGCCAAAGAGTACCAGGTCGCACTGAACGCGTCCAAACGCAGGAGAGGGCATGCGGTGGAGCCACTGCCGCTGGACCATGATAGCCCGCGGCCGATTCAGGATGATGACCCCGATGGCATTGTCGTTCCAGGCGCCGCTGCCAAGGTAGCAGCTGCGCCGAACCAGGATCCCGGGCCTCGGGTGGCGCGCGACGCGGCAGGTGGAGACCCTCCCTCGGATGCTCCGCCCCCGCCTCGGATCGAACCTCCGCGTCCGATCGAACCCCCGCCGCCGCCAGTCGGGCCCGGAGGGCCCGAGGCCCGCGGCGGTGGCGACGACGAGGGCGGCATCGCTATTGGCCCCGAGCTCCCAGCCCCGCCAGTCGCGCGTGAGAGGAGGGCGCGGGGCCCGCTGGAGGCGTGGAAGCCCGCGCTGTTTGGCGCCAGCATCGACTACCAGGAGCATGCGAAGCGAGATGGCACGGTGTATAAAAAAAACTACACAATTCTGTGCATGACACACCCTGGCTGCAAGAAAACAAAAGGCCGCAGTGATGGGAACATGCGGCGCCATGGGGAGTTGCAGCCTCTAGCGCTCCTTCGCGCCTGGCTGGGCGCTGAGCCTAGTTTGGGCAAGAGCCACCAAAACTCGAACCCCGGCCAGGCTGCCGTCGACGCAATGGTGCGAGATAGCGGGGGCGAGCTCCGCGAGTTGTTTGCTCGGCTTGTTCCTGCCTAGGTGGGCTTCGTCTTGACATGTTGTTGGAGGTCAGAGCCGACGCCAGCAACGCGGCCACCACGTAGGAAAAATAAGTCATGGATATTCAATCCATCTGATGGGTTATCCATAGTTCCTGGTTATCCCATACATCACATAACACATAAAACATATAAGCATAACGCATAACGCGTAGAAGCATAAAGCATAGAAGCATAGCGACATAAGATATGGTTACCCAATGCATACCGCATAAGTCATAATACACGGTTGTCCTTGCTGCTGATGCAGCTGCGCCTCGTCGCCGTCGGGTGCTTCAGCCCGCGACGGCACCGCTGCTGCCGCTGCGCATCCCTCACGCCATCGGTGTCCGCAGCTGTTTGGGTCCCAGCTCCAGTGGCGGTATCCACGAAACCCTTTCGGCCCCAGCCTCAGTTGCTCGCGCCGCAGATGGCGGGGCTGCCCAATGCATTCCTGAAGAAACAGCTGACGAAAACCAGGATTGAGAGACGGGCTGCCCTGAAGGAACTGCAGATCCAGAAGCAGCGCACCAAGAAGCTCAGGACGGGCTTGCTGGCGATCGGCCGCGCGGTCGCAAGGCTCATTGCAAAGGACAACGCCGCCGAGGCCGCCCAGCGCCAGGAGGTGGGGGCCATACTTAGGGGTCTTCAGGCTGCTGTGAGCGATTCGGACTGAGGCGCCACGCCTTCCTTGGACGTCTGCTTTCCCAAACATTGGCCTAGGTAGGCTCGGTTTAGCGCGAAGCCCGCAGCCGCGGCGCCACTGGCCCGCGGCAGAGCGCCCGCCGTCATAGCGTTTTCGGTGCATGGGGCATGGGATGGGGGAAGGCGATGTGCTCGAGGGCAGCGGGCGATCTGTTCGGGTGGCCGCGGCCTCGTGTCTCTCGGATGGGCTGGCGGGGCGGCTCGGGCGCGCTCGAGCTTGCCACTCCGCTCGAGGCAAATCGATCCATCATTCATCATCGTAATCCCATGCGCGGACGTGCCGTGGGCAAGCTTGGTCCATTGAAGATGAGTGAAATTTGGCACTCGGTACTTGCGGCATTCGTCTTTCAAACAACCAATGTGCATGCCTAGCCAAATTTGACTCCCGCAACACGCAGATCGAAACAGCCAAACTTATATCGATCCCCAGGCACGTATCTAAACCGCCCCAAAACACATGTCAAACATAACGGCCGCAAGTGATATCCTAGAAAGCGCATGCACAACATAATCATATGTCATGATCATTGTTGAAATCTGTTTGAATCTGAGGGTGTCGCCAGACATCCGATGCGTGCGAGCCCGATTTGAGCAACCCGGGTCCAGCCCAACCGTGGTGTCCTCGATGCGTCGGTTCTTCGACGCCGCGCTGGCTCCGCACACAGTCTGGGCACGAACAGCCAGCTGCAGGAGACTTCTGGCTGGCCCCGCACGCAAGACACCGCCGCCCTGCCTCGAACACGGTCGCACTTGTTGGCTATGATCGTGGGAACGCTCCCCTCCTTCCCCTCCTCCGCGGTGGTGTCAATGCCTGATCGTCGCCGTCGGAGGATCCACCTGGTGGCCTTCGGGTCTCGTCCGGGCGGGCGGGTCGCGGGTGGGTCAAGAGGGCTCCAAGTGTGGCCCAAGGGAGGCCCAAGAGGGCCCGAAGAGGGGCCCTCAGGGTTTCACGTTCAGGGGCGCTGACCGCGCGCCTTCCTGGCGGCGCACGTATGGACAAGCAGCTGTAATCTCAGCGTCCCAGCGCGCAACCTACGGAGCAATCGCTCGCAGGCCGTTTCATGTCTTCGGCGGCCGAGCAAGCTACCTATGGCGCAAGCAATCGCAAACGACTGGTTTGAATCGATATGGTCGTGGCCGAGTATCGCAAAGAACAAGGGCGTTGTCGGCCACGCGCGCGTCCGCATGCCTTCGCGCCATGCCTGCGGGGTTTCGGGTGATTCCAGAACTTTCCAGAAATTTCCCGAACGTTCCCGAAGTTCCTGAACACACACGCACCCGCGAAAAAATGCAAACTCGCGCGGGCTGTTTTTTTTGGCACCCCTCACGCAGATCGTGACCCGCGGGGAAGTCCATTTCGCCGCGGGACACTCGCGGCCATTTCCCGAAATCCCCCTAAATTTCCAGAAATTTTCCCGAAATTCCCCAAAAGGCCACTGTCGCATCGCGAGGGGCGCGCAATGTGCACCTCGCGCATGCGCACCTCGCATGAGCCCCTCTTGGGCCCGTCTTGGGGCCTCTTGGTCCGTCTTGGGCGGCACTTGGGCCGTCTTGGGGGCCCTCTTGGGCCGTTTCTGTGCCGTCTTGGGAGCCTCGTGGGCCGTCTTGGAGCGGTCTTGGGGGCCTCTTGGGCCGTGGCTGGTGCCCCGTCGGTCGGGGCGACGAGTATGGGGGGGCAGCAGGAGGAGCAGGAGGATGAGGATGAAAGGATGGGCCAGGAGGAGCAGGAGGAGCAGGAGGGTTCCAGAAAAAAAGGCCAACATCGGGACAGGAGGTTCGATATCTTTGGCAGTTCTTCCCATCAGACGCGTAAGTGCGTAGTCTGGGGAGGGGGCAACAGCATCGAGGATCAGCACAACATAGTGTTCTGAACGCCTCAGGCAACGTCTTTATTGTTGGTATCTGTTGGGTTGGCTTCGGGGCTGGATTTTGCGACACGTCTCAAGCAACGTCTTTATGTTGGTCTCTGCTGGATCGGCGTCGTGATTGAGATTTCACACATTGCATTTTCTCCCTCACACGCCTTCAAACTGGCATCGCCTTGCATGCCCCGTCTGAAGAAATATTTGTGGCAACTTGTATTGGGATTCGACTCGTTTGGAGTCTGGAGTCTTCAGTGCATCGGCAAATGCTTCGACTGGACTCGTTTGGAGTCGCCGTCGCTGCGCTGCGGTGGCCACTGCTGCACCAGAGCGAAACGCACACAAGAAGAAAAAAAACACACTAAAGTTGACGGTTGAGGGGGCAACAGCATCGAGGCACACACACACACGCACACACGCGCACACACACGAGGAGGAGCACCAGCACAGCCGCTGAGGACATCTCTATGTATACATATAACGGCGCACCGGGTCCGGGGGCCCGGGCCGGGACCCCGACCACAAATGTGGGCCCCGGGGCTCATTTTCCCTGTGATTTTACAAGGTTTCGGCGTCAAGGAGGGTCCAAGAGGCTCCAGAACAGACACCGGACGCCCGAAGGTCGCTCTTAGACGCTTAACATGGCCTCGAAGACATTTTCAGAAGTCCCCAAGACACTCCAAGCGACCCCCAATAGGGCCCCCAATACAATTCCAAGCGGCCAAAATAGCCTCATTCTGTTTGTAAAACGTAGTTTGTTTTCGCTGTCGGTACGGCCCACGAAGGGCCCAAGACGTTCGCAAACGTGGGCTCCGGGGATCTCGGGGAGCCCGAAAGCCGAGAGAGAGAGAGAGAGAGACCGAGGCACACCGAGAGAGAGAGAGAGAAAGCAATCAACAAAAAGAGAGACGAATAGAAGCCGCGATGCCTCTTAGGAGTGGTCCTATCGGGCCTACAGAGCTCGTCGTTGAGCCTCCGGGAGCCCTCTCGGCACGGAAGGCTTGCGTTTCCGGCTTGCGGCGCCGTCTTCGGGAACGTTTGTGGCCGTCTTGGGCATTTTCTTAGGCCGCCCTGGGGCCTCTTGGGCCTCTGGAGCGATAAGTCCCACGCGCTTCAAAACCACTCGAGTTTCAACGGGTTCTATGTTTGTGGCCTCCTGGAGGCCTCTTGTGGCGGCGCTGGCTTTCTCGAGGCAGGAAGCTTGAATATGCGGCTTGCCGTTTCTTTGGTGGGGCTCTTCTCTTGGGGCCGTTTTGCCGCAGTCTTCGGCAGGAGGAGGAGGAGGAGAGGCAGGAGGAGGAGGAGGAGGGGAAGATGAGCAGCAGATATCCAGTAGGATGAGGAGGATGGTGAGGACGAGAAGGAGGAGGAGTAGGAGGAGGAGGAGGAGGAGGAGGAGGGCGGCTTGGAAGTTCTCTTGGGACGCCTC